GCGGGGCCGAACAATCTTTGAGGGACTGGTGGATTCGTACCCGAAGCGCCTGGATCTGTGGTGGCAGTACCTAGACCAGGAGTCGCGACTGGACGACAATCAGAACCAGGTGCGCAACCTCTTCGAGCGCACGCTCACGCTCAAGCTCACCGCCAAGAAGGGCAAGAGCCTGCTCAAGAAGTGGCTCGAGTACGAAAAGGCTCACGGAGACGCAAAGAGCCAGAACGCCGTGCTGGCCAAGGCCAAGCAGTTCGTCGACGAGATCGCCCGCAAGAACCAGGCTGACGACCAGGACGAGGATGACGAGTAGACGTGTTTCACCCGCACGTTTCATATGTACCCAGCAGATGCTTTCAAATGCTACGATACGGTTTCGCTATTATTCCAAGTCCGGCTGCAAATCGCGCGTGGTGTCGACGAGGCTGTGGCACGAGCCGAGCCGTCATCGTGACTTCCATGAGTGCATCGTGGTCGTAATGTGACAGGTTTGCGAAGAGGGAACCGCTATGCTACGAACATATGATTGAGCGAGCTTTGATTCGCAAGTTGACTGCGACGAGATCGATGCTTTCGAAGGCGAAGAGGCGCTTTAGGCGATGTGGCGACCGAGCAGCTCGTTGAGGTAGTACAGAGCGACGGGAGCTGCAAGTCAGAGCGAATCTCAATGTCAGTCAGCCTGTCCGTTCGCGTGCATCAGGACACCTTTAGTCGACCATACGAAGCCACGCAAGCGACGAGGGCCACCTCAGAACTTACCGGACCAGAGACCGGCAGCGTAGACAGCGAACTGCTTGAGGGTGTTGCGTGCCTGGAGGCGAGCGGCGGCTGCCTCTGCGGGCGAAGGCTGACTGGGAGCACCACCGAACATTGTGAAGCGTACGGATGTCAGAGAGCGAGATGGTGGTCAGAATCGATCGAAGAGGCGATGGAACCTCGGCGTGAAGTGGAGAATTTTTGGCCGGCCCGATCGATCCCGATCCGCAGCCCCAAGCTCAGGGTCCAGAGGAAGAAAGTCGCCGCAACTAACTTTGTTCCGCACCCTCTGCATATCCACCATCCAACAAGGCGAGAGAGCAGCACGACATGGACAGCCACGCCGAGTGCAGCAAAGATGCAATCACACCACGATCGAAAAGTAACGGTGGCGCAGGGGTGAAGCGCACGACGGTCCAGCACCAGCAGCTGCCTCCGCGGCCCAAACTCGTCCCCGCCTATCCCTCGGCTGCTGGACGCACGCCGCCTCGCAACTCGCACGCCGAAGGATCGAGCTTGCCCTTTTCGCTTGCCGGTCTGACAGCAACTCAGGATGGAGAGGCGGACGGCAGGTGGGTGTCAGTGATTACAGCGCCGGCGTATGCGCCGCTTCGGTGCTGGCGCAGCGTGATGCAGAGCCTGATACGGCATCCCGAGCGCAACTCGAGCAACATCCTTCGAGCCGACATCCTCGCAGACACATCTGCTACCGAAAGTAGCGAGAAGGAGGCAGCTGGTGGTTGGAAGAAGCAGTGGACAGTGCGTAGAGCGCTGCTCCCACGACGGCCTAATCTTGACTGGCGCATGGAGCAGGACTGCTCCCTCTACTACCGCTACCGAGCTCCAGGCACGGCTTCGAATCACCGTGATTCAGACGATCAGGCGCACGGAGATGATCACCACGAGGAGGAGAACGTCGAAGAGGCTCTTGTGGTGTACACGCCACTGGTGGGCGTGGAAAGCCACCCCAAAATGGCTGTCCCGCCCACAGTACAATCAGCGGCCATCGGCGCTCCTCCACCGCACGAGGCGTATGTGCCGTTCTACCACCCCAAAGTGCGCGCTTTGGCCTTCCACTTTCGGCGCATTCCCAGCTCTGACGACTCTCAGGCTGTCGTGTACGGCGAGCTCGGCATCTCTCTCGTTCCTTTTTCTTCCGCCCCGGATGCTGAGTCGGACGGGCAGTTTGGGCCGACGCATCGGCTGTCGCGCGTGGGGCTGTCGCTGCTCACCACGCTGCACATGCACACGTGGGGCGAGCTGCACAGCTACCAGAAGCGCGTACACCACGACCAGATCGTCGCACGCACGCTCTACCAGGACACGTACCTCGAGCTCAAGTCGCGCTACGCCTCGCACCTCATTGCAACGTGGGCAGAGGCAACCGATCCGACCAAGCACGTGTTTGAGGAGATGGGAATCGCCGCCTTCCTCATTGCGCTGTGGCGTCAGCTGTACGCAGCCGAACAACCCGCAGATGGGAACGAGGAGTGGAAGCGCGGGGTAAAGTTCGTCGATGTCGGATGTGGAAATGGCTTGCTCACCTACATCCTGAGCCACGAAGGGTTTAAAGGTGTAGGGTTGGATCTGCGCGCAAGGAAGAGCTGGACACAGTACAGGAACGATGGCGCAGAGCTGCACGAATGGACGTTCAACCCCGCCGACCTCATTCACACACCAGCGGCCAGCGATGTCTGGCAAGGCGCGTTCTTGATCGGCAACCATGCGGACGAGTTGACGCCGTGGCTTCCCGTGTTGGCGACGCACTACGGCTGCAGCGGATTCATCAACTTGCCCTGCTGCTATTTTGGCTTGGACGGCACGAGGGACTTCCCACTACTGCTGCGTGGAGTTGTACCGCGCAACGAGCAGTATCTTGCGTACGTCTCGCATGTCCATCAGCAGTTTGGTTGGCATGTGGAACTGGAGCCACTGCGCATTCCAAGCACCAAGAACTGGTGCTTTGTCGGTCGAACTCGCACACCACTCGACCCAAATTCCCCAGACGCTGTCGTCTTTCAAGAGCGCCTCGATGTCGCTATCCAACAAGCCCTCGCCTCGGGCTGGGCGCCTCGCTCCGGCCAAACCTAGACACACACGCGGCAGCCAAGGGAATATGAGTGCATTTCCAATCGCAGTCTCTACTCTGAATGCCAGCCGTAGCGCATGAAGGCATCGACGGTGCTGACTTTCGCATCGGTAAACGCCGAGAGGATGCCGCGCGCCTCCATGTAGAGCCACACCTTGATCATGGGCAGCATACGCTTGATCTCCTCCTTCTTAGGCACGTGCATACCGCCACCCTCCTGGTGCTGCAACTCGCGTCCCAAATGCCTCAGGATCGGCAGCGCGCTCTTGAACAGGTCCATGTCCGGATCGAGCTGTCTACCGATGCCCTCGAGCAGCAGGATGGAGATGACCGTGTTGACAAAGTCGGCCTCCATCTTGACGTGGTGGTCGCGCACGGCCATGAGCACCTTGTTGAGCACGTCCGAGATCTTGATCTTTGCGAGCGAAAACGTCTTGGACTTGACGCTCAGCACGAGATCCTGCATCTTCATCGCAAATACGTCTTCGTCCACCACCAGGTCGGGCGTCCTGCATCGCTCCACCATCAGGTGTCCCGCGAGTGCGCCGTCAAACTGAGCCACGGCCGAAAAGAGGTCGAGGAAGTTGCGCCTATTGAGCGGAGTCAGCTCGACGGTGAGACCGGCGTCGATGAGCACGATCTCGGGCTGGTAGCCCTGCGCGTCGAGCCGATCGAGCTCGTCGAGCCACGCGTCCTGGTCGTGGTTGAGCGGACGCAGACGCTGGACGATGCTCTCGTCCACCTGGTCGTCGGGCGTAGCCGGCGCCTTGCGGTGACCGGGCGCATAGTCGCTGTCGAACTTGCTCAGGATGCGCGCAAAGAGGTCCGAGAGCAGCGACTCGGTGGAGGGCTTGTAAAACTTGATCATGATGTTGCCCGGATGCAGATCGGCATGGGTGAAGTTGTCGATGAGCAGCATGTTAAGGAAAGCATCCAGGCCGAGGTTGGCGATGCGGTGGTCGAACTTGGCGCCGCCGAGCTGGAGGAAGTGTTTGAGCGGAAGCGCGTCCTCGAACTCTTCGATGAGCACCTGCTTCGTGCTGAACTCGGTGAGCGGACGCGGGAACGAGATGGCGGAGCGGCGGCGCGAGAAGTTGTGCTCAAACCTGCGCAGGTTGTTGCCCTCGTTGCGCAGATCGAGCTGCGAGAACATCATGTCGGCAAACACATCGACCTCCTCTGGGAACGAAAGCCATTCTGCACCAGGAATGACGTTGATGAGGCTGGCGAAGAAGCGCATGATCTTGATGTCGCGTCCGATGGTCTTTTCGACACGCGGGTGGAGGATCTTGATGGCAACGCTATTGGTAGGGATCTGGGGTGGCGCCACGTCCTCTTCGTAGGAGAGTGCAAGCGTTTTAGAAAGCTTCTTTGTGGTCTCGCCGGAAGTTGGCTCCTTCTTGGCTCTTCTATATCCAGGTGGCAGTAGATCATGCTTGAGCTTTGCCTTGTATACCTGTGCTACAGCGCCGATGCCCATGGGCTCGTGGCCAAACTCTTCAAAGATCTCGTCAAAGGGCATCTGGAAGATGCGCTCGATGACGCGCTTGGTGTAACGGAATGAGTGCGGCTTGCCGTTGGAGTGCAGGCGTCCAAGACGCTGGCACAGCTCCTCAGGGAAGAGATCTTGACGACTGCCGGCCCACTGTGCGAGCTTGATAAAGGTGGGCCCTGCGCGCTCCATCTGTTTGACCAAGAACGAGTACCACCAGATGGCGCCCCAACGATCGCCGTCCTCGTCCTTGCGCACCTTTCTGCCGCGCATGCGCCCTTTCTCGCGCCGAGCACCGACGAGGAGCATGGGTGCTGCGAGGATGACGGGAGCAAAGAGAAGGAGGAGGTAGAGGAAGCGACGTGCGGTGCCGAAGGGCTCGATGATCCAGACCTGTACGATGTTTCCGATCTTGAAGAAGACGCGGACGACGATATTGCGTCGTGCCAAGTCTTCGTCATCTTCCTCGACGGGAGGAGCAAAGTCACGATGCTGCGGGTTCTCTGGCTGCGGGTCGGTTGAGGAGGTATCGGACTGGAGCGGGCCTTGTGCGAGGTAGTATCCGATGAGGAGGGACCCGCCGATGCCAGCGATGGCCATCGATGCGATGCGGGCTGAGCTGCGATGCGAGTGTGAGCTGTGGCCCGCGTAAGATTCAGCAGACGCGGCATAGAAGCGCTTATTTGACTGTATCAGGTAACGGATGCTGGTGGTCGGTCTTGAGGCGTGGTGGAGCAGTGGTCTTGTAGTAGCATGGGTAAGTATGGAAGGCGAAGCAGCGGTGCTTAACAACGCCAGCTGTGGTCTTGCAGCGAGGCCGAATCGTGCCGAGGCTGTGTTTGTGAGGCGGGCGCCCACGGGGGCCACGAGGGCGGGACGTAAGAGTGGCATAGTGTGTGTCCTGGCAGCAAGAATTGCTACGGTGTAGGAAGACGATGGCCTCGACCTACATGCCCCTGGCGCAAAGTGGTCCGGAAGAGCGTGAGAATGTTGCGATTGTTGCTGTCGATGGTGGTGGTGTTGTGCCTGATAAGGTCGGCGCAAGCGGTCGGGTCTCCCTCTCTCTTGTGCTCAGGCACCGCGACACGAGCCATTCCGAGAGGTGTGAAAAGCAGCGACTACGTAGCGCTGCATCTGGGCGCTGTCGCTGCACTCAGCCGGCCGTGCGTTTCCGTTCGGGATTTCTGCCTCCACCTGGATCGCGTCGAGTATTTTTGAGTATTTGTGTTTGAAAAATGGACTGCACTTTGTGCCGCTCTCACATCTGCATCGGATGCGCGTGGCGCTCCAACACGCTCATTTCATTAAATTCTGCAGGGCGCGACTGCAGTGGCACGACTTCAGTGTGCTGTCAAGAAGAACGCGTTTCCTTTTCGACTTTCGACTTACGGCAGACAGGCGAATCTCTCTGGGCTCCGTCCGCACTTTGGTCCGCTCCACACGGCGTCAATCAGTGCAGCTCAGCCCCGTCCTTCCCCCACCCCATGTTCCGCCTTTCCGCGCTCGTGCTCCCCTCCTCCTACCTTTCCCCTCCCCCTCATAGACAGCCGGCACCATGAACGAGGACAACGACTACGAGCAGGAGCGGCTCAAAAACATCAGGGAGAATGAGCGCCTCATGAAGGAGCTCGGCGTCATGGGCGGTTCCTCGGCCATCGGCGGGCCGCCCCCCAAGCGCGCCACCCCATCCAGGCCCAAGAAGCCCGCCACGCCCAAGGGCAAGGCCGACTCTACACCGACCCGCATCATGCCCACCCGCTCCAGCGCACGCCTCGCCGGACACGAGGCAGACTCCGAGACCCTCAAGCGCAAGTACGAGAAGGAGGCCGAGGAGGCACAGCGAGCCGCCGACGCAGCCAAGCGCGCACGCCACCAGCAGTTCGACCTCTCCGGTATGACCGGTGGCGAGCTCGAGGAGGAAGCCATCCTCGCCCTCGAGGCTACCCTCAGCAGCCTCGCCTCCAACGCCGCATCCGCCGCAGAGCTTCTAGACATCAAGCACGAAAACAAGCGCAGAGCCACGAAGCAAGAAGACGACCAACACAGTGCCGATCGAACCGAGCTAGAGCAGATCCTCAACAAGATGACGCTAAAGAGCGCAGCCAAAGTCACTCCCAGGCGCATATATTCGATGGCCTACCACCCGGCCATCGACAAAGATCTCATCTTTGTCGGCGACAAGGAGGGTGCCATCGGTGTCTGGGACGCCGCGCCCGCTGCCTCTTCGAGCAGCAATGGCGTCAAGACGGAAAATGACGAGGACGTAGAGGAGGACGACACATTCCCAGAGGGCACCGCATGGACACTCCAGGTCCACGGCCGCAGCCCCGTCACATGCATCAAGTTCGACCCGGTCAACCACAACTCGGCCTTCTCCAGCTCATACGACTCGACGGTGCGCAAGCTCGACCTGGCCACAGGCAAGTCGGACGAGGTGTGGGCGGGCGAAGAGGACGTGCTGCTGTCCATCTTTGACATCCTGTCGCCCTCCACCCACGCCGGCGCCTACATCGACACGCCGCATCCTTCGCTCGACGAGCGCTCCATGTGGATCGCCGACCACCGCGGCGGCCTGTTGCACATCGACCTGCGCGAAAAGACGCGCCGCGGCAACAACACGCGTCGCTGGCAGGTGTGCGAGAAAAAGATTGGCGCCATGTCGCTCAACCGTGCGGCACCCCACTGTGTCGCAACAGCGTCGTTGGACCAGCACATTCGGCTGTTTGACGTGCGCGCCCTCGCCTCCGTCGTCAAGGAGACCGCAGAGGCTCCGTACAACTACAAGGGCGTCGATGCCGACGATCTCGAGGCCGCACAGACACAGGCGCAATTCGCAGCCAATAAGGCCAGACAGGCATGCACCAGCGTCGACTTTAGCCCCAGAGGTGACCAGCTCGTCGGCGTCTCGTACGACGACGTCGTCAAGGTATGGAGCATGGATCCCGGCTGGCTCTACTCCGAACACGGCCTCAAGAACAAGGCCGCCATCACAGGTGCTGTCAACGGCGCCGCCAAGGGCGCAAGACGTAGCGGAGCAGGCGTGAAGAAGGAAGAACCCGAGCCCAAGAAGGGTGCACTCTCCACATGGCTTTCGAGCTTCAATGCACTCAAGACCGAGGAGGAAGTCAAGGAGGCCATTCAAACAGCCAAGGCTACGGCTCCGGCCAAAGATCGACCTCAAGACGTGCTGGAAGATCCGGTGCGCATTCCTCACAACAATCAGACGGGCAAATGGCTCACCATGTTCCGTGCAAAGTGGAACGCCAATCCCACGCTCGAACCCCACTTTTCCATCGGCAGCATGACGCGCCGCGCCGAGATCTACGCTGCCGACGGTACGCTGCTTCGCACGCTGTGGGACGAGAACCTCGTCACCGCCGTCCCCGCTGTCACCGCAATGCATCCTACCCGCCCCGCCCGCCTCGTCACGGGAAACGCTTCCGGAAGATGCACCTTCTGGTCCCCAGACCAATAGATCCTCCTCAACGAAAAACACATACCCCCCGGCCCCTTGCCTTTGTAACACTATCAACAATACATCCGCAATCGTCACCCTCACTACGACTTGGTCATCTTGGTTATTATTCTTGGATTTCGTGTGCGGAATCACACAGCAGCTCGCTTCGACCTACACGGCCAAAACCATGTCTACTGCGCGCCAAAGCGGGAATGTGCGGGCAGCTTTAGAGCTTGCCGGTGGAGCCGAGGTCGGTGAAGGCCTCCTTGCAGCGCGTGGCCATGGTCTTCTCGCCCTCGCGCACCCACACGCGGGGGTCGAAGAACTTCTTGTTGGGCTTGTCCGCGCCGTCCGGGTTGCCCACCTGGCTCATGAGGTAGTCCTTCTTGTTGAGGATGTAGTCGCGGATACCCAGCAGGTACGCCCACTGCGTGTCCGTGTCGACGTTCATCTTGACCACACCGTGCGACACGGCCGTGGCGATCTCGTGCTTCTCCGAACCAGAGCCGCCGTGGAAGACAAAGAAGACGGGGTTCTCCTTGTCGCTCTTGATCTGCTCGCGCACGTGCTCCTGGTGCTTACCGAGCAGCTCGGGCTGCAGCGAAACGTTGCCCGGCTTGTAGACGCCGTGCACGTTACCGAAACCGGCGGCGATCGAGAAGTTGGGCGTGATCTCCGAGAACTGGCGGTAGATGTCCCAGATGTCCTCGGGCTGCGTGTAGAGCGAGGCGTTGTCGACGCCCTCGTTGTTGACGCCGTCCTCCTCACCACCGGTGATGCCGATCTCCATCTCGAGCCAGATGCCGAGAGGAGCCATGCGCTTGAGGTACTTGAGGCACGTCTCGATGTTCTCCTCCTTGGACTCCTCCGAGAGGTCGAGCATGTGCGACGAGAAGAGGGGCTCGTTGTGCTCCTTGTAGTACTCCTCGTCGGCGGCGAGCATGCCGTCGAACCAGGGGAGCAGCTTCTTGGCGCAGTGGTCCGAGTGCATGATGACGGGCACGCCGTACGAGGGGGCGACGGCGCGGATGAAGAGCGCAGCGGCCTTGGCACCGATGATCGAGGCCTCCTGGTTCGAGTTCGACAGACCCTTGCCGGCAAAGTTGGCGGCACCGCCCTGCGAAACCTGCAGGATCAGGGGCGACTTGGCATCGCGAGCAGCCTCGAGGGCCGAGATGGCAACCGACGACGACTGCCGATTCGCGCGCAAAAAGGAGCAATCACGGGATATCAGCATTCAGCTCGTTACAACAATGAGCGCACTCGTTGTTCAAGCGCCCCGAGGACGATCGCAGCCATTGGCTGAGCCTCTCGCGGCGGGTCAAAAGATACTCACGGTGACGTTGAAGGCGGGGATGGCGAACTTGTTCTGGCGAGCGTAGTCGAAGACCTTGTAGACGTCCTTTCCGGAGACGACACCGGCGGGAACAATGTCAAGAACACCCATTCTGCAGTTGCGAAGAAGCGTCAAAGAGTGAAGATGCGTATCAGCGACGAATGCTCATTGCATCGATGCTCGTACCAGTCACAGCCATCCCAATTCTCCGTGTCGACATTGCGACACGACCGGGACATGGCCGCGGGGAAGCAGCCGAAGGTACGAAGAGGCGTGGTGCTATATGCGGGGAAGGGGGCCATACTCACTTTGATATGATGCAACGAGAGTGAAGAGTGGTAGTGGGAAAGATGTGGTGGTGGTGGACGGAAGACAGGACGATACAAGTGAGCAGGAGCTGGCAGCTGTGGGGGCGCGCGCTGGGCCTGCGAGAAAGGCAACCGGTAGGATGTCGGTCGATCTGCGCTCTGCGGCTGCAAGCGGGCAGAGAGAGAGAGAGAGTGGCACGGGCGCAAGGGCGCTTTCGACACATGACCTTTTTTTCTTCGCATCTGGGCCGAGCTGCACGGACATCCCAAGATCGATCAGGCTGCCTCTCCGAACCCACAGCGATTCTGCGTTGATTAGAATCCAATCGAAATTACCAGCCAATCCTAACTGCCGCCTCACCCAACACATCAACCTCCCTGCTCGTCTCTTGCACCTCAGCCTTCTTGGTCTCAGAGGCGACCTGACCTCATGGCAGCGTTTCAGCAAGCAGGCAGGAATGCTTGCGAAGATGCCCCTGCTCGGCGAGTTGAAAGCGGAGTAACGTTGAGCCTCTGCAACGAGAAGAAGCGCGACTTGCCGCGATCGGCCTAAGCCTGCAAGCGACCCTGCAGCCTCCACCTTGCTTTCCGCCGCCCCGCCTCCGCTTCCTTGGGAGCCCGATCGACGCTTGCTGCTCGGCCTCGGAAACATCCGTGCGCTGCTGGTCTGCTGCTACCAACGCGTCCGAGCCTCTCGGGTGAGAACGTGAAAGGCACGGCCATTCACGGAGCAACACCTCGCAAGAGCCGACACCTCCGCATTTCCAATGTTCCCTGAGGCCGAAGACGACGGACGGCATCCATTCTCCATCGGCGATGTGAGGAAGGCAAGGCTGCAGATGCGATCGGGCTGGATCAGACGGGCGTCCGGGAATTCGCCGAGGGCACTAGTCCTTCGCATGCAAGCTCCTCGTTCTTCAGTCACTCCTTTACGCCCTCTTCTTGCGATGACAGCCTTCCGCATAGGCATGAGCCTGGACAGCGCAGCTTTCGGGGTAGCTACACTGCAATCAGAGAGCTACTGATGGCACCGAAGGGGCGAAGGCGCTTGCTTATCGATAGCGAAATAATCTCTCCGCGACGCGCGTGGGAATTCGTCCGAGATGCCTCTTCGCCCCCACAGGATGACGCTTTGCTGCTCATGTCGACCCAGGCCGGAGCCCGCTCGTTGCGGCCTCGGTGCAGCCTGCAGCAAGGATCGCCCTTCTCCATCGGGTGCCGATCTCTTGGCGCAGATCTTGATTTGGACGCCATCAACGCCGTATCAGCTTTCATCTGCCATGCTAGACCACTCAGGCCGATACTTCAGTACATCTTCGAGCGGCACAGACGCCGCACGTGTCTCGGCTTCAGGGCTAGTCTGGGGGTTGTCGGTTCGCATTTCGTATTGTCGCGAGTGTGCGAGCGCATCCTACCTCTAAGCACGTCTAGAAGCCCTTGTCGTACTTGCCAGAACTGTTGGGACCACATCGCGCGGTCAAAGGGGGCGGAGATAGGACGTCGAGTCAGCGGCACTCTCGTGAGAACATGCAGTCGGCCGCACGCCACCAAAACTTACGCGTAGAAGGCCTTCATGTGGGCAACAATCTTCTCAAGGGCGGCGAGCCACTTTTCGAGCTCCTCGTCCACCTTGGACTGGGGCTCGCCGAGCTTGGCGTAAAAGTCCTTGCGGTACGGACACGCCTTCATGGCGAGCGCAAACACGGGGCGGATAAGCATACCGTGATGTGGGCGGAGCGTGGTGCCGTATGCGCTGGTGAAACTCGTGGCCAGCTCCTCGTTCTTGTTGTTCACCGAGTTGCGCATCGCCTGCGCCGTGAAGTCAAGTCCTCGCAGCAGCCACATGAGGCCCTCGGTGGCGGGTCGCTTCGAGGTACCGCCGGGGCCCTCGTTCTGAACGAGCTTTTCGAGTGTTCCCGACTTTTCAACGCCCGTCTGAGCGAGGCGAGTGTTGACCTTCTATTGTGGGCGAAGACGGGTTGAAAGGGAGCCGATTACGATGCAAAGGGCAGGATTCTGTTCAGCCGCTGTGGTTGAGACGCAGCATCCTGCTGCTCAGGCACTTTAAACGGGATACTGACCGCAATGTTGCCGTTCATGTCGTTCTGCACCACCTTGAATGCCGTGTTGCCGAGCAGGTCGAAGAGCTTGACGAGGCCCTCGCACGCCTCGAGGAAGGCCGCCGTATCGACACCGCCCTCGGTGGGCACGTCGGCGAAGGACTAGTTAATCCAGAGAGACAGCGCCGGCATAGTGAGTGAGATTGAAGATCAGCATCGCGTCCGCATTAGCTTCTTTGCCAGGGAAGACGGTCGACTATCTGTGCGCCAGCGCGAATTGGACTTACACGTCTGCACTGCTCAAAGTATGTGGTGGCCATCTTGTATTCGAGATGAGGCGATTGCCGGTCGTTGTGATAGGTGGTGGCAAGAGATGACGGATGTGATGCGAAAGGAGGGCAGCGGACGTGTGGCGAGAGCGAGCGAGGCTGGCTGGCTGGCTAGCTGGCGGCGTCCTGTCACGCGGGTGGGGGATCTGGGGGAGTCGGTGCCTGGCAGGGAACCCGCATGCACTTCCAGGTGTTGGTTCGCGAAGAATTCAATTTGGGCCAAGGGGCTGCAACGCGCCGGCATCAAATCAAACGCACAGACCGCGGCATGCAGGCCCAAATCCCTCACGCCCACACGAAACGAACCCGACCCCGCCGCACCACCGGCAGAGCATACAACGGAAAGCCGGCTCCTCCCCGCTCCCAAGCTCACCTTTGCAAGGCTGGCTTTCATTGCCAAGCCCAAGCTGGATAAGCTCACTTCGTTCATCGATCGCGCAATGCGATCCGCACTCATTTCATCCCACGCACGATTCTCCACGTCGGCCCGGTACGATATGATAAGGAATGGAGAGATTGCCGAACCAAATGAGCTATCTTACAGGACGGTACGGTATCGATATGTGCGCTTCGGGCGGACATGGGACAAGGATCCAGGGACGACGACGACGCTTGTACAAGATGAAGTCTAAGCGTCGTCCGACCTCAGAGCTTGGCAGCAGCGGATCGAGCGATCTTGGCCTTGATGTAGCCGCTGGGATGCGCGGTGGGCAGGAAGACTTCGGCGTCCTTCTCGTCGAGGTTGCTGAGGCCCTTGAAGCCGAGGTCGATGGGGATGTAGTGCTTGTTTGGCAATGCAAAGGCGACGTCGGTGACCGTCTTGTTGGCAGCGTCGCCGAGGATGGCCTCGCCCATGCGGTACATGGTGGCCTGCACACTTGCCGAGTCGTCGAGTGCAAAGACGCGCAGCACGTGCGACTTGACCGAGTTGTGGATGTCGCAGAACTTGGGCAGCGAAGCCGGCTTCTTGAGCGCGGCGCTGAGTCCGCCCTGGGGAAGCGCGATCGCGTAGGAGCACTCGACTTCGGTGGAGAAGATGCGGTCGCGCACCTCCTTGAGCGTGGTGAAGCTGTCCCTGTGGAAGCCGTAGAAGGCGCTGCCGCTGCTCTTGAGCACGAGCAGACCCTTGATGCCGCCCTCGAGCGTGGTCACCTGGATCTCGCTGCCAGCTCGCTCGCCGAGCGCGCGCACGGTGCGCTTCTCCTCGCCGTCACGCACAAAGCTGTGCTTGTGCGCGCCGCCATCCTTGGCGTCGAGCACGATGCGCGTCCACTTGTGTTGGATCAGGTCCACCTCGGTCTTTTCGATGTGCGAGTAGGTAGTGAGGAAGTGGTTGACGACGTGCAGCGCGTATCGCTCGGGGCACAGCACGTCCTCCGCTGGCAGCACTTTGGCGAGGTAGTTGAGCGTGTTCTTAACCGTGTCCGTGGCGACGACGGGCGAGTTGTCGGCCTCGGTGTACGACGGAGTGAGGCTCTCGCCATGGAGCAGGCATCGCACCGTGTACTCGGCGACGCGGTGCGACGAGGGGTCCTTGCTGTCGCGCACGATGCGGAAGATGCGCACGAGGTCCTTGCCATACGACGAGGACGCCAGACGGACGTTGGATGACGAAGCTTTGGACGACATGGCCAGATGAGGACGGAAGCGGGCGGGCAGATGGGCACGGGAAGTAGCTTTGACAGACGATGGGTGGGGATGTTCGGCGAGTGCCAAGGCGGACGGCGTGAGCTTTATGTAGACCCGGAGGCAGGCAAACGAGCGTCGAGAGATTGGGTCGGTGGCAAGCCCAGGGTGCAGAGCAGCCTTGCTGTTCGAGTGGGGAGCAGCAACGGGCCGCGTCGAGCGATAAGCGGAGGCCACGCGCAAATTGCTACGGGCGCTGTCCGAGCTCGGCTCGGTTGCAGTGCCTGTTGCTCAAGTCAAAAGTTGCGGCCACAACCGCCAACCTTGGCGCCCAACCCGAAAACGGCTTGTTGCTCCTCATCCCAAGCTTTGCACCAGGAGCACGGAATCGTGCAATGTGGCGGGGGAGCTTGTCATCGCTCTGCGCAGAAGCTAAGACGCCATGCGTGCCGCGGTGTGGAAATTTTCGAGGCAGCGGAGCGAGCATGGAGATCGCCGAAGACCCTGAGCACGGACAACTGTAAACCCGCAGCAGCAGCGGTTGGCGTGTCGAGCTTGCTTCCGCCATCCGCTCGGCTCAGCCATCTCTCTCAACATTCACAGAGGCCACTTTGTGACCTTTATGTATCCGCGCCCGCTCAACGCAACTCCACCTGACCAGCCACGCCTGCGCCTGTCGCCCACTCGATCCGGACAGCATGCCTCGCAACGTGCCAACTGTTGCTGGCGCGAGCCATGTGGGTCTTGATCTCTCCACCCAAGCGGTGCTCTGCTGAGCGGAATCACGCTGAAGGGGGAGGGTGGGCAACAAAGTGTTCGATGCATTCTGAGCAAACAGAAGCCAGTCGGCGAGCCATGCAGCCAGCCAGCCAGCCTCGGACAACGCCGAAGTCAAGGAGCACTGGAGACTCGGCCGCTTCGTCTTCGGCCATGTCCGAGCTTGTGTCGACCGGACGACGCTGACTGATCGGGATCATCGGTCGCCGCTGCACCAATTTGAACCCGATTCTGTTCCGTTGCCGATTTGCTCTCAACACGTTGGGCACGTTGCGCACGCGCGTGACCTTCTTTTTGCTCGCCCTTAGAGAGTGCGGGTCGCGACCCTTCACGTCGAAACTACGCGAGTTCAACACAGCTCGTATCGACAACGCCGCCGGTAGCATCGCCGTCCAACCACCACGCCAGGCGAGCCCATTCACATTCATTCATCATCCGCTCTTCAGCCACGACTCTGCTCTCTGTTTCTCTACATTATCGGCACGCAACCACCAACCATTGACCAATCGATTGGGCCGTAAGCGCGAAACGCCAACTTTGTGTAGCATGACACCACCATGGATGCAGCACAGTCGCTAGGAACGAGATCGCATATCCAAATCACCACGCCCATCTCCAATGCGTTAGCTCGACACTACGCATCCTTCCGCCATACATAGATGACATCACCGCTGCGCTCGTTCGCTAGGGATGAAGCTTCGGTCACTTCACCCTACCGCCATCCGTTTGCTGCGTCTCCGTCGCCTAAACCTTCCCACAGCCCTTTCTTGGCCCGTCGGTCGCTTACCGGCGGGAACAGGACCTCAAAACACTCGCGGTCAAGCAACGATATCCTGTCAGCACCTCGTCCCGATCTAGCCTCGAAACCACCAGACGCCATCTCGACGTCAAGCAGCACGCTAGTCAACGCCGACACCACATCCGACTATCGCCCGTGGGAGGTGCGTTCCAGCTCGAGTGACAGCTCTCTCGCCTCGGCTCTGCTTTCGGTAGACGGTGGAGCCACGCCCACACTCTCCGCGCTCGACGAAGTCGGCACGCTCCCTTCCATCCACATTTCGCCTCTCCCTGCACGCACACGGCCTCGCCCAAAAGGCTCCGACAGACCCGCCGTCGCTGCTTCGCCTCGCAGGTCGCGTCCACGCCAGGTGTGCCCGGATGATTGCCGCTGCTCGGATCAGGACATCGATCTTGCACTGTGCCGTCGCGCCGTCGCTTCCTCCTCTTCCGGCTCGGACCCGGGCTCGTTGTCCGTCGGCATGCATCCCATGAGGCCGCGCAACACTACCTCGGACGCTGTCATTGCCGATGCGGAAGAAGCACTGAATCCCGGTAGCGCGCCTGCATACGACCAGTCTCACAACTCCAACTCGGCGTCCGAACCACGTTCGCACAGCCGCGACTTTGAAAAAGACCCCGTGCTGGTGCCCAAGTCGGCACGCGCACGCTTGGGGCCGCGCACACACCAGAACTCCTTCGACCAGCTCCAGCGCGGACTCGACACGCTCGAGAGCAGCGACTCGGCGGACAGCGATGCAGAGCACTCGCGCGCCGTGCAGAGGAGAGCAGAGTCCATGGCCCGCTGGACTGCTCGCCGCTCTTCTACCGAAGTGCGTTCCCAATCCAACGGCAGGCGCTCACCGGTTGCAGCGCCCGTAGCAGCAGACACGCCCTCGCCGGCGCGCCCGAGCCCAGTGCCCTCTCCATCCCGCCGCACACCGCAATCGAGGCTCGCAGAAGAGTCGATCGAGGCATCGTTCGCCACGCCCTTGATGACGCCCGGCCGCAAAAGCATTGCGGCCGTGTTCGAGTCGATGCAGAAGGAGCGCGAGGCGCGTGCTGCCGAGGAGCATCGGCAGTGGCAAGAGAAGCAGGCGCGGAGAGAACGTGAACGGGCAGCCCGCGCTTTCGTACCCTCCCGGCGCCGCACGTCCGCAACCAGCTCCCAATTCGACAGCCCCGCATCAACATCAACCGTCCCCGAGCGCGCCTCGCCGGACTGGAGGACTCCAGCGACTCGTTCGCCAGTATCAGTCTCAGCCACTGCATCGCCGCTGCTCTCGAGCGCCGGCTCGCCCAAGATCGACGAACACGCAGCTTCCGATGTGCAGCCGCGGCATCTGGGCGAAGAGGCGAGTGCGCGCATCCCCGACACGCTCGCCGAGGCAGACGAGGACGAAGTGTCGTCCGCCAATGGCCAGGTTCAAGATGCCGATCGCTCGCAGGAGGTAAGTGTGGGAACGAGGGCGGTGGACAAGCTGCCGACGACGCCGCAGACGCAGCAGACAGCATTCGGATTCGCGTCGCAGCCCATGGCGCTTGACCTGTCGCCTGCACGCAGCTTGTCGTCGGTCTCCAGCCCGGCATCCTCCCCGCGCAAGGGCGCACACCGGCGGCAGAACACCAACACCGTCAGCGTCGCAGCGAACCTCCCCTCGGCCTCGCTCGGCGCAGCTCGCCAGCGACTCAACCACGTTCTGCGGTCCAATGCTTCAGCGCCCGACGAGCAGGACTCGCATCTGCAGGCAGGGCAGGAGTATCCGCAGACACCGATCAACAGCATCCTTTCATCGGCCAGGAAGGGACCGTTGAGTGCAGCTCGACGCGGGCACAGTGTGCGCTTCAGCCCGCGGCCCGACTACCGATCCGACTCGGGCTCCTGGGACGAGAGCACCCAGGCTGCGGGCAACGACGAAGGCGACTCGCGCGAGGCGGCCGTGACGCGTCTGCTGCTTCCGGCTCAACCCATTCGGATCCCCGACATTCTTCAGGCTGCGTCCATTGCGGCACCTGCCGAACCCAACAACGAGCACGTGGTGGCTGCGGCGGAAGCAGTGGAGAGGGTCGGTGGACTGCATACAGCCGCCAAGGTGGAGGAGCCCGAGGCGGCGGGCTCGTTTTCGCAGAGCGTGCGCTTCCCGGGCGCGTATGCACGCACGCCGGTCAAGGCCAAGACGTTCTCGCGACACATCATCCGTGCCAGCCCCAAGACGGAACGAGTGCTGCCTCCCGCGATGATCACGACACCTGCAGCGGTGCAGGGCGAGTATGGGCTGTTTCCGGAATCGGGCGCGCATATTCCGCGCGAGTCGACTCCGCCTCCCAGACCTTTCTTGCCACCGGATGATCCGCGCAACTCGCCGCGCTCGCCGAGGCCGGCGAGCCTGGGTCAGGAGTTTGCGAGCTTCGAGACAGGCACGTCCGACGACTCGGGCGGATCCAACGCGCAAGATCTTCGCGGCGGCGGGGGGGATGAATCGCTGCAGGCGACGGTGAGCAAGATGCTGTCTACCATGCAGGCGGCGCACGAAGCGAGGGATAAGAGGAGTAGACTCGGTGAAGCGATCACTGCAGTCGGCGAACGCGTTCGCAGGGTCGAGGCGGTACGACAACCAGAGGGGAACTCACCCACGGCGCGGCTACCTCGGGACTCTCGTGCTGCATTGGAAGCTACGATCAAGGCGGAGGAGCAAGACAGGAAGCGCATCGAGGAGTTGCGGGCTGAAGTTGCGCAAGCTCTCGCTGTTCTTGCCGACCGTATTGTACGACTTCAAGCACAAAGTCCCAACCATCTTGCCACACAACCGCTCACCTCGGCGAAGCCCAGCAGGGCGAAATTGCGGATCGTGGCGGTTGCGGTGGTCCAGTGCATGGTGATGGCGTATCTGATGGCGCTTGCTGAGCGCAAAGCCCATCGCATGCGCATGTTCGCCGGCCCCAGTGACCTTCGCCACCTCTTGAACGCCAGGTCAAACATCGAATGGGAATCGTCGGCGCACGATATCCACCTCACCCCTCTTCTCGCCATCCCAGGCCTGGCTCAGCTCGCCAACGCCTTCCCACCGCTTCCATCACCTTCAATGCTGCGTCTCATTCCAAACCACCCCGCAACGTCGGTATCCCAAATCTACACGGCGTACGTTCGCATCAACGGATTCCCGACCTTCGCCCTACAACTAGCTCTCTATGCCATAGCCCAACTCATAGGTTCGATGGTCATCCTCCTCTCAGCCCCGATCCACGTGCTCTGGTACATCGCCAACCCCTCTGGCTTTTGATTATACCCCTCCCCGTCCCCCCGCCTTTGCCTCGCTCTGTACCACTAGCTCCCCGACCCCTTCTCCTCCCGCATCGATTGCAAAACCGGAATCTTGTAACCCATCCCCTCTCGGCTCATAGCGCGGCCTCATAAACTGCAACTCCGAACAAGACGCGCGCGTGTGAATGGTGACTGCTTTGAGATTGTTGTGACGGATGAATGTGCTTCTGACTGGTGGTGATGGTACAAGTGCAAGTGGATGAATTTGAGCCCGGCCAAATGATTGAGGATCCGATGATTAGAGTTGAGCGTGACACGGTGAGATGGACGGGGGCGAGGGGCAATGCAAGACAAGACTGAGGGATCGTTGAGATCGATGCGGCCATTCGGAGACGCGCCGTTCGTAGACAGCAGCGTTCAGCGTCGAAGGCGCTTTTGGAAAGAGAGAGAGGTGACGATGGATGCGAGTACCAGTTCATGCGCGGAGGCTGGCGCGACCACGAGCAGCCGCCGATCCGAAGCTGCCGCCCGACGAGAGCGACTGCGACTCCTCGCGCTCGTCGTCGCCGTCGAGCTCGAGATCGACGTCGTCGAAGCCAGGGTCCGAGAACTCGGGAGCGCGCGAGCGGAGCGGGCGCTTTTGCTGCTTGGGCTCCGCCTCGCCACGATCC